TCACCTATTAACATAAATATAATATATTTTGTATTAACTCAAACAAGCAAAACAAACGACTTCATCGATAGTCGAAAATTCAGGAATCGAACAAACACGTATGAGTTCCCGTCTCAAACCAAATAATTCTGCTCCGAAAATTTATAAAATGTTATTGTTTTTGACATTAAGTATTCAATTACAAATTTTTTGCACAAAAAATTTGCAAGGCTTCGAGGTATATAAATTAGTATAGCTTCTGATAATATAAAACTTCATCACATTAAGTTGTCATAGCGATTTTGTGTAGTTACTATTGCTGGCTTTCATTTTTAACTTTAAATCGATGTTAATAAGCGCAATTAAAATTATGATAAAAGATAAACATAAATACGCAGAGACTACGGACCTCCATTTGTCGCAATCCTGACATACCGGCCTCGCCTCCTTTACATCCATATATCTACGCATACAGGCGCGTCGATCAAAGTACTTCTAATGTGGCCCATTTTAAAAATATCGCCAATTTGTCGATAGGCTTTCTTCTAGGGCGTCCTATCCTGACTCTGCCTTTCACATCTGCCATACAAATTTGCTTTGTCACTCTTTCCTCATTCATTGTTTCTACATGACCAAACCACTGAAGCATTCCTTTCTTAATCCTGGTCACATCATCATCTTGCATATCGCATTTTTCTCTTATCATACAATTTCTCACCCTGTCATTCAGATTCAACCCTAGCGGAAATGATATTTTTTAAAGCAGAAATGATGATTGTAATTTTAACATAATTAATTTTTTGAACTTAATTTTTTTTATTTATATTAATATTAATTTATATGTACATTAAAGTAAATTACAGCAATTATTATATACGTAACATTAAATAAAAATAATAATTAAAATTATAATATTTACAATTAATACTAATTATGCACAATATAAAAAAGAAACTATAATATATAAAAACTAACACTAAAAATTTAAATAGCCAAAAAGTTCTGCTCCCCCGTGGTATAGTGCCAATAACGCTGGCTGCGTTTCCTCGCTGAATAGCTATACTTAGCCTTTGAGCGAGGAAAGAACTAGCCTTATCACCAGCAGTGACGACCAGCCGTGGATACAGTTCCTTTAGGAACTTCACTGCAGGTGGACCCCACGGACCAATAGTCTCTACAGCAAATGACACAAATATGTAGTCATTTCTCAAAGACTCATATTTGCGCCATTTACTAAATTCGGCTGCCTCTGATGCTGCTCCGGCTCTAAAAGAGGTACACTTGAGATGAAAGGCCGCCAAAGTGTCAACGCAAGTAGCATCCTACACTAGGGCTTTACCTCTCTCCCAAGGGAACAGAGTCATACCGTCGGGTCTCTTGCCATCGCCTCTAAATATCCCGCAAGGCTCTAAAACCAAGGGAATATTTATGGAGACAAGAGCCCTTCGGATGACTTCGTTCAAAGAACCGTGACGGGAAAACCTACCTACACTTTTCTTGCATGAAAGTCCGTGGAGCCCAAACTCATCGACGCTGCTACCACAGGGGCACTTGTGAGGTTGACAAATTGCCACTCTAAGCCGGATTCCTTTGGAATATCCCACCCCACTGTTTTTGTTGGTTAACTTCCAGTGGGTTATTTTCGCCGGGACAGAGCGTTAGCCATGTTTGTTTTGCCTCCGCAGCAAAACACAGGTCTACTTTATTTTTTAAAATTGTGTTACATAAATTATTGACACTACGTACGTAAGCAAGGAAAGCAGACAATGCGACGCTAGAAATGTTTCTTACTCCAATAACACCAAATTTTATAGATAAAGTGGCTTGATTCCAAGCAATTATGGGCAAGAACGCGAAAAGATGTACATTGGACTTTTCTACATGTCCCCAGGTTATATCGTACTGCTGTGCGACTTTGATAAGTTTTACAAGAATCATTACCATATTAGTTGATTTTAGATGAAATAGGCATGTCATATTTATTAAAATTTTACGCATGAAATTATACTGAATTGTAAAAATTTAAGTTTAAAAAATCGTGATTTTGTTGTATAGTACTGTCCCTTAAAAAAAACCGGCATTTTTAACAGCGTTTTGTGAAAAAAAAAGTTATTTCACTGGCAAACCTTTAGTTACATATTTGAAATTTGGCGGAATTTTAATTATTTTTTTAAGTTAATTGTGCTGCCAAAGCTAGAATTTCTACTAAATAAGTAATTTTTAAATTTGTCCCCGGCATATGAACCTACCGGACATGTCCAGGTACCGTTACCGCATTTTCGTTTAAATTTATAGTTTTTTTGTTCAATGTGGTATTTATTTTTTTATTTAAACGGCAACATCATAATGAGACCGAAAAAGAAAAAAAAATGTCTATGGTTAAATCAGCCATTTTATTCAAACAGCTGTTTCATTTTCGGCGTTTTTGAGAGGTTGTGTTTTTACGGGCACTGTCCGGTGAGTAAATTAATTTGTTTTTTGGTGTTATAACGTGTTTCCAACGCATATTTTATGTCTAAAACTTACATGAACTATTTAAGATTACTATAATGTGAAAAAAATGTGTGATAAATATCAGCAATTGTAGAAATTTTATAGTTTTGTATAAGAAGTACTCGATTCCGTTACCTCATGTCCGTTACCATCGCGGTGGTAACGTATAGGCCGGACTTGAAAGTCACGAACAGGATCACGTAAAGCAAGGTTTACATGGTGTAAACTTGATTTTTTTCTATTATTTTATTTATTGTTTTTAGGTACCTCTGAACTCCTTCATTTATATAGTTATTTCGAAAATCATTTTTTATTTAAGATTTATTATATTCTGGATTGGTCAAATAGAATTTCATCAAAATCGGTCTACTATTTTTGTTTTGGAGTCAAAATAGCTAGAAAAAGTGTGCTATTCCGGATACTAATTTTTGTTTTATTGTAGTTCTATAGAGAAAGTTACTGAATTTTTTGTTAGGCTTGTTTGTTGTTGGCTCATTTTTCCTGAAAAAAAAAAAATAATAATACATGTATGTAAGAAATATAATTTAGGTATCAATTCAACAGGTAAATAATTGTACTTAATGGAATTTCAGATTTCAATATGGTGCTCACTGCAGCTGAAAAAATGCGCCGTTATCGCCAAAAAAATTAAAGATAATCCCCAAAAATATGAACAACAGAAGAAAAAAGACCTACAACGCATAAAAACTAAAAGAAAGAAAATATCACAACTCGATGATGCCGATAAAGATAAAATAAGAAAACAATGGCGAGATCAAAAAAAGAGGCAAAGAAAAAATAAAAAAATAAACAAAAGTAATGAGAACCAAGATAAAGACAACGAAAACATTGATAGGGATGGAGTATCATTCAGGGAAAATTCGCTCAGCAGAAAAAGTCGAGAGTCAGATTCGAGTTTAAAGTCAAAATTGAAATACATGAAAAAAAAGTGTTACATATTATTAAAAAAAAATTGAACAATCTCAAAAAAACGAACAATCACTGCAAAGAATAAAAGAGAGGTTGAAAAAAAAGATTGTATAGACAAAAAAATGCCAGTGAAACTATAATTAAAAACCTGAAACTCACTATCGATAATATGAAAGCGCGCGAAGAAATTTTAGAAGCTGCTTTAAAAAAGACGTATAAGAATTGCAAGAAACAAGCAGAAAAGAGAGTACTGAAAGGGATAGTAGAAAACGCTGAAGTAAAAACTTTCGTAGCTAAATTAATGGGTTTATCAGGAAGAACCAAGTACAAGAAGAAAACAACATCTAAAGGCAGAATAACTGAAATTGAAAATTTTTTCATCAGAGACGATGTTAGCCGTTGCACCGCTGGCAAGAAGGAATGTCGATCCAAAAACAAAGAAAAGCGTCAAATCCGGTATTTGTTGGACACATTGAATAACTTATACGTTAAATATAGGAGTGAAGGTGGGAGGTACAAATTAACAACTTTCCGTAAATACAAACCATTTTTTTGTATTGGCTCCTCATCTTGCATCACGTGACACTTGCCTCTGCGTTAAACACGATAATATCCAATTGAAATTTAAAGCTTTGAGAAAGAGTGGCTTAACTGAACACCGACACATAAAAGATGTACTCCAAGAACTATCCTGTGACCTAAAATCTCCCTTGTGCATGCATGGAAAATGCAGAACATGCAAAAATAAGCCTCTTAACTTTGAACCCGGTATGTATTTAGACGAAATGGTTACTTGGACTCAGTGGGAGCGAAAACGACATGAATATTTGAAAAAGGACGGGACTGAAAAGAAGACTTGTGTTTGCATAAAAACAGAAAAAGTCAAAATCACAAGCACATTGCGTGAACTATTACGCATATTTAAGGCGGACTTAAAATTATTCAAAAAACACCATTACAATGTACACCACCAACAAGAAAAATATCAGGAGGGCGTTACGTATTTGAAAGAAAATGAAGCTTTAGTCATTTGTGACTTTTCTCAGAACTACGAATCAAAACTAAGCTCAGAGATTCAGAGTTTGCACTTTGGTGGGTCTAAATGTCAGATTTCGCTACATACCGGCATGATCTACTTCAAAGACACATCCCAATCATTTTGCACTGTGTCGCCAAGCACCGTTCACCAACCACAAGCAATCTGGGCCCATTTAAAACCTGTGCTTGAGTACATTAAAGAACATCAGCCTCAAGTTACTGTTATTCACTTCTATTCCGATGGCCCTACTTCACAGTATCGCCAAAAAAACAATTTCTATCTGCTCAGCGTTTTTAGGCAAAAACTGAATTTGGACCATTGTACGTGGTCATTTTTTGAAAGTGGGCACGGTAAGGGCGTGGCGGATGGTATAGGAGGCACAGTGAAAAGAGTTTTAGACAGGAATGTTTGTTTCGGAAGAGATATTTCAAATGCTTCGGACGCTTTTGAAGTTTTAAAGGACTCTCTGTGCACAATTAAGATTTGGTATATCTCTGAGAAAGATATTGACGAAATTGCTGCTCTTTTGCCTCAAAAGCTATCAATTGTAGTTGGAACAATGCAATTACATCAGATTGCAACACAACAACCTGGAACTATTACTTACAGAGACTTGGGATGTTTTTGTGGGTCACAAAGGGGTTTATGTTCATGTTACGAACCAAAAATCCACAAATTCGAATGTCCTACGACAGAAAATAGAGGCATTGAAGCAGCTGATACATTAGATGATATTGAACCATCAGATTTAATGAATGTGGATGTTGAGATAAACCTTGAGGAACTGTCAGCGATGAATGATGTAAACTTTTCATCAATTGGTGATCTCACAAAGCCAAACCAAACTAACTCAGCGCTTGAAAATGTGGACGAGGACTTTTCTTTCATTGGAGATTCTTCGAAACCAAATACTATCAAAGCCAACTCATCGATGGACGAGGTAAATAGTTGTTCAAACGGAAACACTGGTAGCCCAATATTAGCCAAGGCGATTCAGCGATGGATGACGTGGACTTCCTTTCTGTCGGAAAGGTCAAAACGCAAAACAATGGTGACATTGTTATTGAAGTCGTGGACAACACAAAGACTGCAAAAGATAAGATGAGCGTTAAAGAGTCAACAGTGATGGATTATCTGAACATTTCATACACAAATTCTACAGCTGATAATAAGCCGAATGTTTTCAAAACTGACTTGGTAAATGACATTCAAATGTTGGACCAAAATACCACCAATGATGAGATTATTGTAGAGGAAACAACTGTAATGGAACGTCCACATATTTCCCCTACACATCCCGCGGATTACACACAGACAAATGCAGTTAGCCAAGCCGATTCATTTAAAGAGAATTTAAGTACTATGAGGAAGATCCCATGTATTGTCGACCTAACCATTCATCCTTTGGAGATGAAACTTACTTATAAGCCTAAAAAAAGGTCTAGCAGCAGCGTGTTATGTGTTTCGCAACCAAAAGTGAAGAAAAGTATTGAAGAAGAAATAAACTCGAAAAATAACAGCAAACCATGCACTTCAAAAAGCTTGCGAAAAAGTACAGTTTCTATTTTGAGTAATGTTTCTGTTGACTTAAAATCTAAAACCGAACAAACGAGATTACCGAAACAATCAAAAGGATTAAAGATGATTGTGAAACGCGCATTTACATGTTACAGTTGCAATGGTCCTCTCCTCTCGAATTGCATTACTAAATGTATATCTTGTTGTAACCGATTTTGTTTGGCCTGTGCCACGGGAGAAGTCACCAAAGATTATATTTGCGATAATTGCCTTATGTAAGTGATTTGGCAATTTTTCTACTCGAAGAGCTTTACTATGCCCTTATATTTTGTTTTTTATTTTTTATTATGTACACACTACGACTTTAAGATAAGTTTATTTTGTAGACAAATGATTCATGTCTTTTTCATCGAGTCCAAATGATTATTTGTTTTAATGTTTAAGACATCATAAATCTGAGACTGAACATATTACTTTAATAGTCTGAGCTTATTGTGATTTAGAGCTATCTCGTTATCACCAAAAATAGTAGTTTAATGAAGATAATACATGTTTATTAGCAAATAGGTACAAAATATTACAAGTCACATATTGATAGAATTAAGTTTTAGCTTCGATGTATACTAAAAAAGCAGTTATAATTTATTTTTAATAAAAACTTTGTTACTGAAACATGGATCGAATACATGATTTTATACATCTCCTTTGAAATTGCATGACGGGGCAGTAAATTTTTGAATTAGAATAAATAAATAAAAAATAATATTATCGATCCATGTTTATTTCTACGAGTTACCTAAACGTTTTTTATTCATAAGTTCTAGTTTAAAACTAAAATAATTGATTATATGTAACGATCTCATACTAAATATTTAAAAAGTTTTTTATTTATTTTTTTGTTTTATATGGGCTTGCTCTTGACCCCAATCTTGCCCTAGAGCAGAGATGGGATCTGCGATGGAGCAAGCTTGCCCAGAAGGCACTGATACTCCCGCACACCGACAGAATACAGCAGAGCTGCTTGGCGCCGGACTCCGGTGGGATGGTGGTCGCGAGCCAGGCGGCCCCTTTCAGGGCCTACCACTGCCTTTGGGATCTTTAACCGCCATCACAAATTGTGTTGACGTTGCCCAGGGTGGACCGCTAGGAAGTAGATCCCACCCACCCCAAAGTGTATCCTAATATTAAGCGGCATGTGAACTCAACCTTACAGGGTCCTGTTCGTTGTTAGCATGTCCTGTTACGAGACTGTACCCTAAGCAAATGTTGCTAAAAATGTTGACTTTATTTGAGAAGGTTTAAAATATGTACACACATTATTTTAGGAAATAACGTAGTTCATCAAAATACTATAAATTAAAATAGTTAAATATCAGAACCGCTAATTTTGTGAATTTTATGAAAAACTTTTGGATACATTTTACACCTTTAGTAACGTACAGGACAGGAAAAGTAGATTAATCTCGTGTATTTCTAAGTTATCAACCTGAAAATACATTTTATAAATAAAAAAATCATGTTTTCTTTAATTCAATAAATAATATTTGCATACAATTTAAGTTTTAACTATACTAATGAACCAAAAACCAGCGGTAACGAACAGGATTAATATTTTAACCTACTTTAAGAAATTTGCAAATTTCTCACAAAATAACCACTTTAGGGGAAAACTTTTACGATTTTCGGAAAAAGGAATTATTGGAGATAATATTAAGTGAAAAATTCAAGGAAATTCTATCAAAAAAATATTAAAGCTCAATTTTGAAGCAGTGTACTACTTTTCGCGTTCTTGCCCTTATATTTAATCTCAAATTTAGAATATTTTCCAAAGCAATTTTAAGACTACTATCAATATCTTTTAAAATATCCTACTATAAATAAACATTTCCAGACTGGACTTGAGCGTAACAAGTATGTAAATTTAGGTACAAGGAGACAATATTTTAAAATGGCAAGGGCAATATGGGGGTTTAAAATATATAATTTATCAACGTGATTTAAAAATTGATCAAATTTTGTTTTTAAAACAGGTTTAATACTATCGAAAAACAACGGAGTACCGAGCAAGTAAAGCGATACCGTATTTACAGTTTTTATTCCTGGAGAAATCTGACTGAAATTTTGAATTATGGTATTTCTGTCAGAAAAATACGCAAATTATTGGAAATAAATATTTCACATTAATTTATTGGTATTTGGTTCAAGACCAATATTCTTAAAATTTTGGAAAATATGAGTAAGATCACTGAGCACTTTACCTCCCAGTGTACCGTCGTCTAGATACCATCCATTCCACTTTGATTTTAAATTTGAAATAATAGGTTGAATTCCCCAACTGAAAAGAGCTGAACCTAATAGATAACCCTGTTTAACACCTGCAGCAGACTCAATAATATGGTTATGATAAAACAAGTTCGAATTTTGACTGTAACATTGCCAAACGTAATGATAAATTTCGGGGGTATTGAAATAATACTAGTTTTTACGGAACTTATCGCGTATATTTAACTTTTTAATTACCCGACGTTTCGAGAGCTTTACAGCACCCATGGTCACGGGAAGGACTGAGATGTTCAACGTCCAGCTGTCATAGTTAACCGCGGTTACCATAGATTAAAATTTAACTTTTGTTCCGATCTACACAGTATGAACTTATGGTATCATGGAGTCTTGCAGTTGTATGCTTGGGTTGGGATTTAATTTTATTTATTATAGGATCCCAAGCAGATGGTAGCACCCAGCCATCTTCTCTATTGAAATTAGGATGTTTTGTGATTTCAATAGCCTCGCGAATCATCCTTGGAAGGAATCGGTTTTCTTTAACGAGGATTTGTGGTCTATCAAATCTGATGTAGTGACGGGGGCGATCCTGTACATGTTCACAGACTGCAGACTTCCCGGAGCGTCGATTCTTCACATCAGCTATATGTTCTTTGACGCGGGTTTTAATGGATCTTTTAGTTTGTCCTATGTAGCAGAGACCACATTCACAATCAAGCTTGTACACTCCTGCATCTTGCAGAGGGACGTTACACTTGACTGATGGTAAAAACTGACCAATCTTCTTCGGCGGCTTGAAGTATGTTTTGATGGAAGCGCGCTTCAAGATGTAGCCAATCTTGTCAGTGACTCCTCTAACATATGGCAGTACAGCAGGTACACGCTCGACTCTGGCCGGCTTCACTCGTTCTCTGTGACGTAGGCGCGGGACCCGAAGCTTGTTGTCATGCAAAACTTGCTTGACATGTTGGAGCTCGGCAGCCAGGTGTTTACTGTCACAGATCCCTCGTGCTCTCTGAAACAAAGATTTACCCACGGTAGCTAACTGCGAAGGATGGTGGTGAGAATCACCGTTTAAATATCTATCTGTATGGGTCTTTTTTCTATATACAGTATGGCTCAAGGTGTTATCAGGATTCCGAATTACTAACACATCTAGAAAAGCTAAGGAATTGTTTGCCTCTAACTCCATTGTGAACTGAATTTTAGAATTTATAGAGTTAAGATGGTCTAAAAATGCAGTTACTTTATCTAAAGGTAGAATTGTGAAATTGAATTAACGGCCAAATCAAATATCAAACATCCGAATCAATGCCAGAACCAAAAGCAACCATTGACAAACACAGATCATAGATTAATCGCGTTCTATAATCTGTCAAAACAAACACTGGATGATGCAACAATAAAGGTTTTATCCAAAGGACTAAATTACGCTATAACTCCACGCAGATTACCGTACGAAGAAATTATCTGTAGTGGCGAGGACTGTTTATTTAAAAACAATATGCGGAAAGAAGATTTGGAGGCGATACGTCAAGACATTTCGTCTATGTTACGTCGATGTTCAGTGCCTAAACCGAATCATCCCAGAGACGAATTTATAGCGTTAAAGAACCTACGCAATAAACCAGAACTTTCGATTCTCCGCGCAGATAAGGAAAACGCCACGGTAGTCATGGATACGTCAGATTATAATTCTAAAATACAAGAACTTTTGTCGGATGTAAGTACTTATAAAAAAGGTTAAAAACGACCCAACAAATAGCACACTAAAAACAACTAGTGACCTCATAAAGAAACACTCCGAAAAATTAAATCTGGACGTAAAATGGATAATACCTACGTGCGCCAAATCACCAAAGTTGTATGGGTTACCAAAAATACACAAGCCCAATGCTCCATTACGCCCCATAGTGAGCCAAATCGATTCATAAACTTACAGATTGGCTCAACACTTAGCGAAAATACTCTCACCGCTCAGGGGACATACAAGAGCACACATAAAGGATTCCTACCATTTTGTCAGCGAAATTTAAGACCTAAGTCTGGCAGACAATGAAACTATGGTCAGTTTTGATGTGCAGTCATTGTTTACATGCTTACCTGTTGAAGACTGCATCTCAATTGTAACTAGAAGGCTGGAAGAAAACAACATGCCCGTAGAATATGCAGTATTACTCAGACACTGCCTTACATCTGGCTACCTATTGTGGAAGGAGTTCTACAAGCAAGTAGATGGTGTGGCAATGGGATCACCTGTATCTCCCATTGTCGCCGACATATTGATGGAAGACTTTGAGGAGAAAGCCCTGCTTACTTCTCCCATAAATCCAAGTTTCTACAAGCGGTACGTAGACGACACTTTCACAATTCTACCTTTAGATAAAGTAACTGCATTTTTAGACCATCTTAACTCTATAAATTCTAAAATTCAGTTCACAATGGAGTTAGAGGCAAACAATTCCTTAGCTTTTCTAGATGTGTTAGTAATTCGGAATCCTGATAACACCTTGAGCCATACTGTGTATAGAAAAAAGACCCATACAGATAGATATTTAAACGGTGATTCTCACCACCATCCTTCGCAGTTAGCTAGCGTGGGTAAATCTTTGTTTCAGAGAGCACGAGGGATCTGTGACAGTAAACACCTGGCTGCCGAGCTCCAACATGTCAAGCAAGTTTTGCATGACAACAAGCTTCGGGTCCCGCGCCTACGTCACAGAGAACGAGTAAAGCCGGCCACAGTCGAGCGTGTACCTGCTGTACTGCCATATGTTAGAGGAGTCACTGACAAGATTGGCTACATCTTGAAGCGCGCTTCCATCAAAACATACTTCAAGCCGCCGAAGAAGATTGGTCAGTTTTTACCATCAGTCAAGTGTAACGTCCCTCTGCAAGATGCAGGAGTGTACAAGCTTGATTGTGAATGTGGTCTCTCCTACATAGGACAAACTAAAAGATCCATTAAAACCCGCGTCGAAGAACATATAGCTGATGTG